CCCCCCCCCCCCTTTTAAAAATTTTTATTTTTTTTTTTTTTTTTTTTTTTTTTTACAGTTTTGCACCATTTTGTGTTGGTATCTCACATGAAATCCCATTAAAATACATTTAATTTTGGGTTAGGATTCCGAAAAACCTTGGAACATGTTTTGTCGAAGCAGTACATTTTGGAACATTAGAATATTTAGTCAGCCACAAAAATAAAAAAAAATTAAAAAATAAATAAATGAACACAGACTCTACCACAATTTTTCTTTTAGGATTTCACACACAAAAAAATGTAACTAGTACAAAAAGAGAAAAAAAAACACACAGCGGCTGCAGCCGTAGATTACCGGTAGTTTTAAACAGGTGACAGCTCAGTTAGTAATCTTCACGTGACGTTACATACACATCTCATCAGTGGCACTGTGACAGTATGTTCAGGAACAACACCACAGCATAGAGAACCATGGGCTCATATTCAGAAATTGCACAGTGGGAACGCGGACCTGCCTCCGTTATCCTCAATCACCACAACACCCATCAAATCGACATTCCAACTCTGGAACTCGTGAATACGGACGGATCCGGCACGATATTCAGCATACAGCATTGTGTGAAGGTGCAGAGGAGGTTGCGACAGAAGAGGGGAGACTGTGAGGGGAGCGACGTCTGCACCGAGTGGGCAGAGAAGACCGGCGCTCCGAGATGGAAGAAGAGAAGGTCTTTACTGAGGGAGCGCTTTCAGGATGGCGTTCACCTCCTCCGCCACGGCCGTCAGAGCAAACTCAAACTGCTCCTGCGGAGAAGAAAGAAGAGGATAAAGTGTTAGCGTGTGTCCAGGTTTGGAGCACGCCTTGAATGCCATTTAGAAGTGACTGACAGCTGGCGCCTCCTCCTCCTCCTCCTCTCCCTCCATATCTCCTGACCCCGGCTGGGCCTTGGCCACCATCTCGAGCCGAATCGCTCCGTGAGCTTTCAACCTGAAGCACACGCACAGCCTGGCACCAACATCGATCCAGCCAGGTGTGTCTTAAAATGCAGCTTTGTGAGTCAAACTGTCTCTCAGCTTTTTTTTTTTTTTTACTCTGTGTGTTTTATTGTGAAACAGCGCATGGTTATCCCAGAGGAACTGATTGATGTCTGCCCTGTGGACCTGCCGCTTTTATATTCCTCTCCTCTCCCCAGGCTGCAGGCCATGGGGTCTTCTCGCAGAGAAAAGGGAATGTAGGAGGTTTGCAGGGAACAGTCCTCAGATGAGTCAACACACAGCCTGCCATGGTGTGGCCCGAGGATAGGCTGAATCAATACTGCGAAGCCACCAGTGGCCGCGGTTATGTGGAGTGTCTATTTTCGCGTGTTCTCTGAAGTTGTGATGGTCCAGAAAAATGTATAAGTCCATCCGCATTTGTCTCCAACTCAGTTAGGCTCTTAAGTTTGAGTTCAAAATTTTAAAATAGATTTTAAATCCTCCTTTTGCATGGTTTCCCCATTTAAAGCACAGGGGGGAGATCAATCTCTGCTGCACGGATCAGAAATTGATGTTAGAGAGGATGAAACGTGCTCACATGTGTCACGGTTGCCACGTACAGACATCTGTCATAAGCAGCCACCACCAAAAACCATTTAATATTTTTCTTTAAGCAATTTTAGCTTAATGTTTAAAAAAAAAAAAATGAAAAACTTAAAGGTGAACTACTAATAGTTCAAAGCATGAGTCATAATTGCTGTTTTTTATGCCCCAGAGACTTTATCATATTTGCTTGTCTGCTGTAAATTGATTCTCAACTACAGTGTGTTCACTAGCCGAGTCCTTTGCCATGTTTCTCGCCGGAGATCCACAGAATACGGATCCATAGTGGGGCCCCCGGCCCCATATATGTGATAGTTTACCAAATAGTAAAACTTAATTTTATGCAGATGATACAATTGTTGTGCTCAACATAAACAAAGAGAGACATCCATAACCAGATACACCACTGGATTTGGTGGAAACAGTTATGACATTCACAGACAAAGGCATCTACTGTTTCTCCATCATTCCTCGCTGAAAATCGCAGTAAAATGGATCATACATACCAGACAGTTGTCAGGAGAAAAGCATTTGGTGAGAGGTATGCATATACTAAAAAAAAATCTATAATAGGCTGCTCAAATAAAATGATCTGAAATGCTGCACGATGCAAATCAAAACAAATCAGAAAGACATGGAAGAAAATGGAGCAAACGATCAGCTCCACGTTGATCTAAAACAATATAACAAAATAAGTCTATAGCCAAGCTGTCAACAAGAAGCCTCTGCAACGACTCACTGTTGAAGAGGTTACCAAATGGGGTAACACTTTTTTGGTCATTACAATTTGTTAAATGACCCTCAAAGAAAACAAATTCAAGCCAACTAATTGAAGCATGGTGGCTTCAGTTTGTTATGGATGATTCATTTATGCGTGTGGTTTTTATCACAAACCAAGAGTCATCAAGACTTTTGAAGTAATCATGTTGCACTATGCTGAAGAAAAGACAATGACTCTAAACACATCATTAAGCAAACATCAATTTGGTTCCAGACCAACAAACTCAAAATTATGGACTGGCCAGCACAATCTTCAGATCTTAATTCAATGGAAAACTTGTGGAAAGTCATCAAACATGGTGTTTCTGAGACAAAACCAAGAAAAGCAGAGAAACTGTGGAACGTAGTCCAATGATAACAGCAGTTAACACAGATATGAAGTAGTTCCCACAAACGGTGGTCATACAGCTAATGCACGTTCAGCATTTTTTTTTTAAAGTTTGAACAATAAATGTTTTAGTTTGTAAAGAAAGGGCATCCGGTTTTGGTTTTTTAACACCATGGAGAGAAACTGGTAGCCTACATGCACCAGGGCTGTTTTGTTACACAGAGGATGTGTCTAGATGGTATCCTAATTGGATGATTGATTTCATTAAATCGAGACTGGACCAAATCAAAGTAGACAGGCCAGATTAATGAAATAAGAACTTGTTTGTCTGACCTTCAATCATTTATTTTGAGGCTTAGTCACTTTTCTGAACGCTCAGCTACTATTTTGAACACAAGTGTGTCTATTGTGCTCCTCTGCCAGTAATTCGAGCTCATCTGTCCTTAATATTAGGAAGTTCAATTTTACACAATTTAATTAGAAGCAAAATTAAGAAAATCATGCATTTAAGGGGCTGAAAAGAAAATGACAAACAGGAATCTTTAGGAGCGTAAAAATAGGTTGAAACTTACATGAGAAATACATCTTGTTTTTCTCTCCATGTGGATAAACAGGGTTTTTGGTGGATTATTTCTGAATGCAGTGGCTAGTATCTAAAATACTGTCAGTAACATCGTGCTTTGCATTTCACTACCGAGTGTGTGTTTACACGTGCAAATACCACATCCAGACGTGAAACTGTCAGGGCTCGTTAGCCACTTGATTCGACCAGTATTAGTTTTATATTAATTGTAACACGTTTCTTTAGAAATTGTTGTAAATTTCACTGCTGTTGTTACATCTCACTAGAGATCTTTACCGAGACAAATAAATAAATCTAACAACAGCAAAAAAAAAAAAAAAATAGTTGGAAAATCATTAAACATAAGAGAAAAAAAAAATGAAGCTAACTCTACATTTCATACCTCATTATAATCTAATTTCTTTGAGGAGCCTGAACGAGTCTGCAAAGAGGAATCAACCACATACCGCTGTAATTCCTGTCAAACCGAGAAAGAGAGTCTTTGAAAAAGGCTTTGCTCTGCAGAGAACAGAGCAGAGCTCTAACGGCAGCTTTAGCAGACCGTTCAGAAACAGTGCAGCGTGTAAGCAAGCAGCTCCCACTATCACCCACTGCATTAAGAGGCATTTACAGAGTAAATGCCTCTCAATATTGTCAAGTTGTGTTAGGAGCCTTCTGGTTGGTGTTATTTATTTTTCAGCCTTTTTCAAAGGAAAAGAAGAAAATAAAGATACAACAGACTCCATGTTGAGAGCATCTTTCATCATTACTTATCCTTCGATTCAGTCCAAGTTGTCAAAATGATTTTTTTTTTTTTTTTGATCTGGTTCTAAACTGAATCACGTCGGTGGCTCTCTGCAGTGTTGAAGCGTAAACTGACATTTCATGGTTTTAAAACTTGTTCCACCTTCAATTTTATTATTATTATTATCCTCACAAACGGAGGGAGTAAAACAAAACGGGGAAAGTCTTTGTGTTTGAGTTGAGGATGACGAAAAAATGGCTGTTGTAATGTGAACTGTACAGAGAAATGTCTGTGATGCCTGTAAGGTGAGATTGGGATGATGTCCAACATGTTGTGGCAAATGATTCTTTTGAAGCGAATCTACTGAAACAGGGTTTTAAATTCATGTGCCCTGATTTTTTTTAATGTTTCATTTTATTGGAGATTCAAGTTTCATACACATTTTTGTGTTAAAATTAAGCGTTTTTCCAGTTTCAAACCAACAGAAGGATGGTTGGATGTTAAGTTGAAAAAGAGTTTTAAACGTATTCCAGACTTTTCCAGAATGCAAAAAAAAAAATAAAATAAAAAAATAAAAAATAAAAATAAAAATCCCTGTGGATAGTTTTGTTGGGAACTACTGTAAATCATTTTGGGCTCTAAATGATATTCTTATGAATATTTTTCATGTAGATTTGACAATCATTCATAACTTGAAAAAATAAAATAAAAATTACACCCTAGAGAAGTAATCACACATTTCAGCAATACTTTATCCATCTAATTTATTCAAATCATATAACTGTGCAAACATATTTCTTTCAAATTTTGGGTAATTTTATTTGGGCCCCTACGATAAATGTGAAGTTATTATCCCGCAAGCAATATTTCTGTAATCCTGAAAGCAGTTATCAAGTAGAGCATCATCATCATTTCCTCTGATCCTGTGTGGATGAAGCAGACAATCATTACTCTAAAACGCCTAAAACCCCGTTGCCCTCCCTGGGTTCCCGCCTCCTCCCTCCACCCCCACCTCCTCCGACTCAAAGCCAGGGAACCTTACCTTTGTCTGGACCATGCCAGCTCTCTGGTCTCTCAAGTGCTCCAGGGTAGCGGCAATATCAATCTCTTTAGCACCTGCAACAGAGCAAGAATTGGACTGAGTTCAAAGTGACGCAGTAATCCTGCTCACATCTGTCAATCTCTCTTAATGCCGCGCTGCGCTCCTTTTGGAGCAGCACAGCGATTGAAAATTATTACATTCATCCTCGGAAAAGAAAACTTGGATGGAAGCCACGGACTGTTTCTTGATAAAATATGCATAATTTATTTATTTTTTTGTGGGGGACATAAAATATACAGCACACCTTGCCTTCGCTACGGGAATAACATTCAAAGAAGACGTCCGACTCGCTTATTAGAACGGTTTGCTCTGCAGCAGCGATTTCAATGATTAACCTGTGCAACAGTTGCTTCACCTGTAATCAGCTTCCTTTCAGTCTTTGATGTTACTCGAGGAAAATCTCACACCACTCCGAATGTATGGGCTGAAAGCAAGCCGGAGCTGATTTGAGAATGAGAGGGATCTAGAAAATGCATCTAGGGGAGGCAAACAACATAGCGAAGAATAGATTTATGCCTGTATGTGGGAGAGAAAGACGGGGTGGGGGGAGTGGGACTCGATGCACTCAGAGGTACTTCAGCGTTCTGGCAGGACTTTCATGTCTTAGATTAGCTGGAATCCGAAGTTACACTGAAGAGAAAGCTCTCTGGCCGAAAGGGAAAAAAGACGGCTTTTTGGAGCGCCAGAGCTTACGTTCATTTCATGCATTTTGATTCCAGACGCAGAAAAACAAAAGGTTGAAAGCGGACGGCGAGTCAGCTTTCATCACCTCGGGCAACGGCACATTTGTCACAGACGTACTTGAATTGCACCAGGAAGGGTCAGTCTTATTACTGTTTAACAGACAGTGCAGCGAGGCGTCCTTCTAACCTCTTCTGACTGGGTTGGCTCGCTAAAGGGGTAAAGGGCAAAGATCAGGGGCCAAAGTGCTGACTAAGGCATGGAGGGACAAAGTCTGAGGCAACAATAGATGCTTATAACCTGCATTTCTCAAAAGAACTCAGAAGACAAATTAAACTGTTTATTCATGCAGAATAAGATGACTAAAACTATTCCACTTCTGTTTCAGCTGCTGGTGTCAGAAAATATGTTTATTTACAACCCCTCCTGCACCTTGAGCATTTTTTACATTTTGTTGTGGAACAACCACAGACTGCAACGTGTTTTACAGGGATGGTTGTGAAATGGAAGGAAAATTATCAGAGGTTCGTCTGAGAACTTTAGAGAACAAGCAGCATCATGACGACTCAGGAGCACAGCAGGCAGGTCAGGATGAAAGTTGCTGATGTGTTAAAGGGTTACGTTGTAAAAAAAAACAACATTTCAAGTTTTGAAAGTTCATTCTAGAAAAAAACCTAGAAAGTCATTCACATACCACAAGTGGCAATGTAGGATGGTTTAGGTTAAAGCACATTCATGTATTAGAATGCCCTGGTCAAAGTCAAAACCTAATCCAATGGGAAATGTGATGCAATAAAATGAAAACTGCTGGTGATAGATGCTTTCTATCCAAACTGAGCTAGAGTTAGTTTGAAAAAAAAAAAAAATTGACAATGGCAAAGACATGCAGAGACATATCCCAAATGGGTAATGATCCAGAGAGGCTGAATACAAATACAAATATTTTTACTTGCAGAATTTTTTTTTTAAAGTGTTATTTTCCATCCACTTGACAATGACTTGACTTTGTGTTGGTCTGTCACATAAAATCCCACTGAAGTCTGTGATTGTTCCAAATTTCTGAATACCTCTTGCAAAGCACCGCAGGCTGGTGCCACACCGGAGCACCAGACAGAGATAATCCAATTCAAAGCGGCACAAAGCAAAACTAATAAAGCACCTTGAAGATTTCCATCAATGCTAACTATGTTCACAGTTAGCAGCATAATTGCATAAATTGCCAAAAGAAATTGTCAACACCGCTCTTTTAAGAATAAATCAATAACAAAATCAACAATGTTCCATTAAATATTAAATATTGATTCGAGCCGGCAGAGCAAACAGCTATTTTATTTTTTTTTCTTTTAATAAATTTTCGACTTTAAACATTTCATTTCCATGCATGTGCTATCTAAATTCATGTTGCAGCTACCGGTGCAGGTCAATACAGTGTGAAGGTTGCTTAAATAGATAATTACGAATGTGGGCGGAGGTTTCTTTTTCATTTCCCTTCCCTGTCTTCCCTCTTTGTTCTGATCTCCCCACTCCCAGCAGCTACCCCCTCGTCTCCGCTGCCTCTCCAGGCCTCAGAGAAGTCACCCTCTAATGCATCCCCGAGACCCTCCGAGGAGAATGAGAGGCTTTTGCGTTGCCAGGGTTTCAAACCAACAGAGAGAGAGAGAGAGAGAAAGGGGGAGCCATTGATCGTTACCTTTAGCCATCCTATTGAGGACCATGTCAATCAGGATGTAGGTCCCACTCCTGCCGGCTCCGTCACTGCAGAGACAGGAGAGATGCGGAGATCATTAAGGTGGCGGCACAAAACGCTTTAATCTCAGAGTGTTCTTCTTATGAGGAAACAAATTGCTCATTTACATCGGCATCTGCTGTGAGACTTTTGAGTATATTTAAACACAAATTAGTCTATGCATACAGAAGCACACTTCTTTATTTGCATAAAACACGATGCTGGATGTGAAGCGGGAGAAAGAAAATGATCTAAGTCCTTAGCATTCTTGGGAGAAATACCCAAACAGATCTGAATATTTCCAATAAATGTAATTACGCTAAACCTTTTGCACATGAGCGCATGTGTGGTCTTGAGAGTGACTGTTGGAGAGAGAGGGAGAGAGAGAGAGAGAGACAGAGAGCGCAAGAAAGAAAGAGAGAGCGAGAGAGAATGGTTTTCTAAGGCACACTGGGGACAAAAGCTTTTAAATTCATGCACCTCAGGAGCAGAGGAGAGGTTGAGAGGCCAGGGGCGGTTCGAGAACAGCTTTTGGAGAGCCTTGCTTTTCCATTACTCCAGAGATAGCCCCATGAAAAGCCTCCCTTTGTGCCCGCCGGCCATTCAGCAGCTCTGCATGTTAATTGCAAACAAGGCGTGGACATCTCTCTAATAAAGGCACGGCCAATAAAAAAAAAGGAGAGCTGCCTGAGCACCACGGCTTCATTAATCCAGCGCTAGATGCTCGGCTCCTTAGAGAGGGAGAGAGTAGGCTTACTGGCCCCATGCATGACTTAACAGGATGTGACTATCAAAAGTGGTCTGACAGATACTTGGTGTTTAATGCAAGCCAATCAAAGCTGGTTAACTAACTCAACCAGATGGGAAATGGAATGGTCTACCGTTCAATAAGCTTGTGCCACATTATTTACATAAGAAACAGAGAGCGGAATAAACAGCGTTGGACCTAGAGTGGATTTTAAAATATAAAAGTTGTAACACACACACACACACGCACACACACAACAAACAGGTGTACTTGCCTGCAGTGAACAATTATAGGGCAAGATCGGCCACGGTAGCACTTGTTAACCTTTCTGGAATAAAGCAAAAGAGAAGAGACAATGTTACTGCGAGCTTGATGAAAAAAGCCTCAGACGCAGGGGCCTGAATAGTTTCTTTTTGGTTGAATGAAAATAGCGATAATCACAGCAAATGTGACTCAAGAGGGACTTGTGCACTGCGATCTGGATAAAAATTAACAACATTCAAAGCAACAAACACAAATCTGAGATGCTTCCTCCTCCTCCTGCTCCTGTCAATCAGTCAGAAAGAAAGCCGTAAATAAATCCATCATCAGGTTAGTAACAGTGAATCGCTCTCTCTGACGTGTCGGTGATGGACGTGGCGGTGTGATGTTGTGATTGCGGCACGCCAACGCATTAACCTCGGCCAATTATGAATGTTATACACCACGGGCAACGGTGAAGGCCAACAAGCCTTTTCACACCCCGCTGCTGCCATGGCAACTGACTACACCAAGACCTTCCACCAGTGCCTCTTTGCTTCCTTTCATTTCTCCAGTAGTGAGATAGCTCAATTTACTGGCCACATTCTTGTTTTTGTAGGGTTTCAATATGTGATATTTAGAATAAGAAATAAATACATATGGAATTATGAAATGTCTACAATAACGAGTCAACATAAATTTGCACAAATATTTTTGTAATGAGTAATGATAAAACTGAAAACCATTTGAAAGCATTTTAAAATTTATGAAGTGTTGGTTTCAGAACTACAAAATTTACCGTCGCTGTTTTTGTGCTTTAAACAGAAAATCAATTTTCTTTCTGGTGCAGCAAAACCTCCTCCCTAACTTGTTGCTGTGAGATGTAAGTCTGCTTTGTATGGCTCAAAGGGTGGAAGCTACCTGAAGTAGACTGTTTATTTCACAGACATGCTAACTCTTGAGTCTCTTACAAACAACAATTAGCATTTATGCATGCAAGACAAATAGCTTGTTCCTGGTTCACCACAGGGGACAACAAGTCACACGTTTTAACATTATTGAGTAAATTAACTTTATCTTTGCTAGTAGTCAACCTGTAGTCGGTTGTTTATTTTACAGACATGCTAAATCTCATTTGTTCTAACCCTTTCAAGAGCAAGCTCGTCAGAGTGTTTTGTAGGCTGTAGGACGTTTGACAAGCTGAAAGGTATTTGAATTAAATAATTTGCGTTTTTATCAGCTATAGTAAGCCTGCAGATTGCTGGTATCTTACAAACATACATGCTAATTCTTGTAGATGCTAACATCCTCAAGAGTCAGCATGTCTGTTTATAAAAAATAAAAAAAAAGCCAATTGCAGGCTTGCTACTGGCAATGGTATTCCCAATAGCGAACCTACATTAAGCAAATAAGCATTGGAATGTTAGAAAATGTGCAAGCTTTTGCTTAATTTGATGTTTTATCCCCATTAATGAGTATAGGCAGTTGATTTTTCTAAGCTAAAATTTAATTGGGCTAACATTGTACAAAGTTACTTTTGTTCACAAAATTAGCTGTCTAGTTGAGGCTCGCTGATAGGTATTTCAAACCTCATTAAATAGCTAGACATTAATTTCTTTAAGTTCCTTTAAACAGAGCAAACCAACATAAAGCTATTAATAGTTCATTCTGTATTGTGTTAGAGGTCTTCCTCTACTTCAAAGGTCACTTTAATACAAATGAAAATCCCCAAATCTTTTGCATCTTTTTTTTAGTTGACATTAAATTGACTTTAAATATTAACCCTGGAGCTCAGACTCCAATTTCAGCCTTGATTTGTAAAATTTACTGTTTTCTTGTGCACAGTTGTGCATCACAATTAAAATAACTTTTAAACCCAAACTACAAATATCATGATACATATGCTAATTAATATCACAGTAGTATATTGTATTGTTTTTGCTAGTTAACTGTTTACAATATAGCGAATAGGTCATGGGATTTAAAGTGTAACACTGATGCACTTATGTGAATTTTATTTTGACTATTGCTAAGTCATTAGCATTGCAGAAAAGCTTACAAATATATGGACTGAAAAACAAATAGGATAAAATGCATGCATTTTTTTTGTTTTTATTAAAATTTTTATTATGTCCAGAGTACGTCTTTTGGATACTTTGTTGTACAAATGAACATGAGAATTAAACACAACCTTCTAAGATAGCTGAAGTTCCCATGCAAGCCATAGGGCGGAGCAAGTGAGAGGAGGGGAAGGGGAACAGAGTCAGGAGTGAAAGAAAGACAGTGTGTGCACAGGCCTGGCTGAGGAGACACAGTTTCCAATGATCACTTTTGTGACTATGCAACTGGGCTCATATTACTAGCTGCAACATCACAAAAATGACACTGGCCACCGCAAAAAAACCAACACGGCCAAAAACCACAAACACTGAGAGTGTTGGAGTGCCTTGTGTGGATCGGAGAGCTTTAAGTAACCTGCAGTGGCATTTACGAAGCTCAGTCAAAGCTAACTGAATCTCAGCAGAGCAAACAATGTGCAGGTAAATTAAACAGCTCAAACCTACACACCAATTAATATATACACGACTGAAATTAATTTGGAAGAAATAGCGCAAACCGGCTTAGGTAAGTGTGTGAACGTCACAATCTTTCACCGTTTTCATTACAAATGAGAGGGGCAGACTTCCATCCACAAATCAGATGCGTCTATTCTCATTTGGAGGGTTTTTGCCTATCCCTCCCGGGTTTTCCCAGAGGAATACTCCAGCTCTTCTGCCAGAACACATTATCTGGAGAAAAAAGTGAGGTTATTCAGTCACTAGCTTTCCGCCCCGTCTCCTGTGTTTTGGTGAGACAGCTCTCATTTAATTGGGCGTTTGAATTAGGTGTTTTATTATTCTTTCTTTCTTTTTGTCCCAAGCCAAGCCAGGCAGTGTGGAGCCGTTAATTTGCTGCATCACATGTGCTGGAGGGAGGTGAGGGAGATCGGCCTGGGATGAAAGGGACGGGACAGAAACTGGGTCCTTATTAAGAACAACCGTTCTCTCCAAGAAAAAAAAAAAAAAAAAAAAAAAAGGCAGAGGGAGCAAAAAAGAAGAACCGGAGAGGCAGGATAAGGGAAGGTGATTAAAAAACAAGCAAGGAATAAAAGGTCAGCTGTAAATATGAAAATCTGTCTGAAATCCAGCTAGGCAAGACTCCTGGGTTCTTCTCTCTACCTGCGGAAGTCTAACAGGGTCCGGGCTGAGCTGGGGATCCCGCGGTCCATCCAGGACAGGAAGTGGAACTGGGTCACCGTGCGCGTCTCGTTGGTCTGCAGGTTTTTCAGGTAGAAACTCCGGACCAGGAAATCTTCACACCAGATGTGTTCAGACACCAAATTGACCTAAATATTGCCAAAACAAAGGCAGAAATGAATTTAATCTGCACAACTCTAAAATACAACTGCTCAAATATTAGCTTACACAATCAAATTAAATAAGTTGGCTCTTGCTACATAACAATTTCAAGAATTTTTTTTCTTTTTCTTTTTTTCCGGCCAAGAAACTTTCGAAGAAATTATGCATAATTAGGGACAACCTGCTGCACTCTTCATGTACTGCTGAACACTTCGTGTTCCTCCTTCTCCTAAATTAAAGTCATTTTGTGGCAAAATGAGACGTAACTAAGTCAGAAAACAAAGAATGTGAGCGTAATTAGCTCACTTTGAATATGCACATGCTTCAGTGCTGAACTGAGAAGACAAATAAACTTTAGGTTATCTTTGTTTGTTGTTGGAACTAGAAATTCTGAACTCAGACATGTAATTTGAAGGAGCAACACCTCTGGAGAATTGCGGTGTTTTGTAATTTGCTGATTTTGAAAATTTTACACCCATTTTCCTTAACGAGTTTATGTTTTACCTTGCAATTTTTTGACAGACAGAAAATAACATTGGGAGGAATCGTCCTACTCAATGTTTTAGTTCTTCTTTTGCATCTTAGCTCTTAATGTTGATGGAATATACCTGTTTTGTAGTCCTTTTTGTTGTTGTTTTTTCACAAATACATACATGCATCTCAATAATTTTGAATGTCATCAAAAAGTTCAGTTATTTCAGTATCTCTACTTAGAAAAGTGAAGCCATTCTACAAACACACAAAGAGTGAGGTATTTCAGGAACTTAGTTCTATTAATTTTACATTCTTTTATATATATATATATATATATATATATATATATATATATATATATATATATATATATATATATATATATATATATATATATATTTCAAGTGCATAAATAATATGTAATGACCATGTTTTGGTCAATACAATCATGACAACCTTCCAGAGTAGTAGAAGCCACAAAAAAAGAAAATCACTGTTAAAGGAGCTGGATGCATCCAAGCATTTTAATGGAAAGTTGAGTGGAAGAGCACCAGATCTTGGCCCTTTAGTATTTCTGGTTTACATACTCTGTCTTCTGCATATTTTGAGCACTTGTATCCCTGCTACACATATAACATTCTGTTATAAATCTATGTTAAGCCTGATGAAGTCTACATGTCTTATATAAGTGCTTAGACCTTTTATTTATAATTTACAAATACCATGTAGCTCTAGTATAAGGAAGCTCTTGGTCTTCTAGTTTATCATGACAAGTCTTTCATCTTTGACTATGGTAAACTGTGAGGAATAATCTTGAGCTATATAACTTTTGTGTCTAATAAAACTATTGATGATATTCTAAATTAGTGAAAGGAACCAGTAACTTTTGGAAATTTTCACTTTTAGTAAAAAAAAACTGATGACAGGTGCCCACTTGTCACCGGTGTCACACATCTTTGTGTGATGCTCTGGTTATTTGGCAAATCAGAGCCAAATTTATCTTCAGGATCTGGTTTGCAGAATAGATTTTTAATCATTTGGAATATTTTGAGAAAAATATAACAAGTTCTGCACCTAGTTCTGATTTAAAACAATATCAAACAGTCAATATGGATGTTTTTGCTTGTGAAATTCAACAGTGCTAAAATAACCAAATATCAACATTTGACAAACGCTTGATTTCATCACTTGGATCCAGCTTTTGGACATTTAGGTGGATTTTCAAAACAGCATGGAAGTTTTGACAGAAAACAACCAGAAACACTGTGAGGCTCGAAAATATAGTACCAACATGTTGCTGCTGTTTTGCAACACGCTATGTTTGTTGTTTTAGTTGAGAGAGATTTCTTAAAGTCGCAGCTTGTAAAATCCTACGTTTAGTTTTTCCAGGTGCACAGACTTTATGCCTGCTGTTGCATACCTCGTATATGTGGTAGATGTCTGATCCCTCATCAGGCCAGTAGTGGTGACACTGCTTTACTCCATTTTCCGACAGAGGGGTCAGCATCACAATGACGACACAGCCGCTCTCCCACACCATCTGAACATTAGGAGAAAAGAAACGCATCCGCACGTCAGACGACAATCAGCATTCGCATATGCAGACTTACTACGGACTAATGTGCACCTGAACTGGGCCGCTAAGAGCAGCACATTGCGCTGCACCCTTGTATTGGGGTGAAATTGTTTTCTTTATCTTTGTGCAAGAGGTATGAATAAATGTCACCTCTTTGCATGTGAGAAATGGTGAATGTTGGGCGGATGAGTGGGGGTGCTGAGTGCCTGTTGTCGCTCTCTCTGGCGTCGGAACGAGATCACAACATCTTTTCCACTGCCGCTCCATTTCATCTTATCGCAATCTAATGCGTCCTTGGGAAGACATGGAGGCCCACTGGCAGCCATTAGGAAAATGAGGAGGAAATGCAGGTTTTATGATTGCTATAAAAACACAATGGCCTCGACTATACACTAATCACAAGCTCCTGCGATCCAGCCCAGTGGACACATTACACGCCAACTGTGCCAACTGTGCCAAGATGTGATGAGATTTGGCAAGGTGATAATGTGAGGGAAAATTTACTCATTTAGTCTTGTGCAATTTAGCTCACCTGAGGTAAAAGTGGAGCCCTATATGTCCCATCTCTACCTAAAACAACCCCACAATCTTTTTTTTTTTTTTTTTTTTTTTTTTTAATTGGGTTTAAGAGTTTTTAACCCCCACAGGGAATACAACACCCCAC